CTACATGACTGACACAAGCAGTTATTTGGTTCTTTGGTGTGCTCTCTTGACACACGTTATTATGCTGCAATCATACATTCTTTCTTTTATTCTTCTTTCCTTTCCCTTCCCTCTCTCTTTTCCTCCCATCTTTCCTTCACTACACTTTACATACACCTCCCTTCAGACCCAAGAGGCCATTCCTTATATGATTACCTTCCTCTGTTTTCACCATGGTCTTAAATTAGTTTTCTTTGAACATCTAAGATTTAAATTCCCCTCATAAGCAAGTGAAAGTTTTATGATACCTACAAAATCACCTGTCTTTCACTTCAAAAGTGATTTTGATCCTCAGTACCCCCACATATTCCAAGCTAACGCGTCAACAAAATAATGGGGAGTATTAAGTGCATTTCACAAAAACAAACAACTTATCCTGGAGGCAGGCACTTGATTCTAAAGTGCACTTTAAAGGATATGGACCCTACCATTCTCATTTATTATGATATTATTAGGCTTGTATGCAAATCCATCCAACTCTAAGGCTATGTTTGTTACCTTATTGCCCTCTACATTTGGTATCATATAAACTGCATTACTCTTTCCAATGGACCACCTCACTGTGTTAGTTGGGCATCACTTTAACCTCTTACTATGAATCACTTTATTAAACCACTTTTCCACCACTGTTTTCGCAGTTGAATTGGATCTTGATACTTGGATCTTGGAAACATTTCCCATATCCTGGTTCAGTAGAATTTATGTCACTAAAATGAAATATCTTCCCAAATTGCTTTATGCTTTTAGGGTTCTCCCAGTTTTCATCCCAACTCATATACTAAGGACACAACAAAATAAGATCTTCCAATTTATATGGGGTTCTTCTAGACTCAGGATCAGCAAACAAATTCTGTTTGCTCCAAAAATAGTTGGTGGTTTAGCAGTTCTCAATATACATCAGTATGTTTTAGCAGCAAACACAGACCCCATACCTCATCTTCACATGACTCAAGGTCTTCAACTCACTTGATATTGTAGATTGCCACTCAATTCCCTTGGCCTCTCCTCCATTACTTCCACCTTTATATCAGGAGAAAACTTTTAACCCTATCCTTCTTCATACATTACGTCTCTGGGACTCAGAATTTTTGGCAGGCTTCATTACTCAACACCTTCTATTACTGTTCCGCTGTCCTAGGTTTCCCCCAGATAAAAAAAGATTACCTACAATTCTGGTGATGAAAAGACAAAGGGTTTAATAACATCTATCCCTTACTTTGTCAGAAGGGAGTCTTATCATTCCAGGAACTCTACTCTTCCCATGACATCCCACTATAGAAACACTATTACCGCTTTTAAGTAACCTGTTTTATACATAAGCTTGCTTTCTCCCACTCCTCCCAATTTCTCCTCTCCACGTTTGAAAGAAAATGCCGATCTGATTTACAAGTTACTCGAGTCAGCTAAGCGCACGCCTATGAGAACCTAACAAACGCTCTAGGAAACAGAACTCAACATTCCTTTGGAGTCAGCAGTCTTGCAACCTATTTGGCAGTTCATCTTATAGAATTCTTATAAAATACCGTATAGATGGTATTACAGCCCTATCCTTCAACCTGTTTCTGGGTGTCCATGAGGGCACTATGACCCACATTTGGTGGATGTGCTCAATAGCAGTTAGACTTTCAATATGAGTATACAATCTCATTCGTACACTGCTCCATAGCAACCTTCAAAAAAATATCTGTGAAGATTTATTGAACAAACCTATCCCAGAACTCTTATGCACTAAGCAAGCCTTAGTTGCCCATATCTTTATAGCCACCAACAAGAGCATGGAAAGTCCATCTCTTAACTTTGAGGCCTTGCAAAATAGGTTGATTGATATTATGAAAAATGAGAAACTGACAGCTATTTTAGTGGATACTCATTTCAAGTTTCTCACTATTTGCAACCCTGGATTACTCATTCCCAACCTTCAAGATGTTAAGCCCTGTACACACAGGCCAAATATTGGCCAGTATCAGCCAGTCCAACATAAACCGTCTGAAATTCAGCCTGTGTGTATGGCAGCCTGTCATGCATGAAGTTGCACAGATGTACAATGTCAGAGCACACACAGGTACAGCACACAAGCACAGATGAAGCATACACAGAACACACACAGACACACACACAGAGCATGCACCAAAAAAAAAAACACACTGTCAGAGCACACACACAGCATGTACAGTCAGAGCACATGAATACTTTGCAATATCAATTGTTTTGTGGTTTTGGTGGAATGGTACAGCATGGAGGAATTACTATGTTTAATGCACACACTTTGCTCCTTTTTTTTATTGACATAAAATATTTCAGTGACACCCCGTTTTTAAAGCATGTTGGACTCTAATAAGAAAGTTTGCTTTGAGTTTGCCACCTGCTTGTTGCAATTTTTAAACATTAAAGTGTTTCTAAAACCTAAAGATTTTTTACCTTAATGCTTTCTCTGCATTAAGGTAAAAAACCTTAAGCGAGTCTGCATGAGTGCCCCAACAGCAAGGGATTTGTTATGGGGGCACTCAGCAAGCAAGGAAGAGCCATGAGCACCAGTGGGGGACCCGAGAAGAGGAGGATCTGGGCTGCGCTGTGCAAAACCATTTCACAGAAAACATAAACCTGTTTGCTATTTTTTTTTTTTTAATTATTCTTTATAATCACTTTAAAGAGGGATTAAACTACTGTGTGCTGGGTCGGCTTTTGCTATAATGTGCAAGTATGCACTGCACACATGCACATTATGGTGCACTTACTATACAATGTATGCTGAGCCCCCCGCTGCTGCTATCCTCTCTAGCTATTGGGCATCAACTGACGGTGTAACTCTTGTGCATGCACACAGTACCCAGTGTCCAAATGAGTCAGGAGTGTACATTGCACAATGCATGCACCATACAGTAAATACTAACAATAAAAAATTGCTAAGGGAAAGAGGAGGAAGTTTTTTTTTGGGCAGAAGAGACTTTGCATGTGAGTTTAGTTTAGCTGTAATCATTTATATGATATATACAGTATATATATATATATATATATATATATTTGCGTTATTCATTGATGTGCTTTCTTTTCTCCCTCTCTATATGATATACAATATATATATAAATATTTCATGATATCTTTTCATGTGACAACACTGAAGAAATTACATTTGCTACAATGTAAAAGTAGTGAGTATACAGCTTTCATATCAGTGTAAATTTGCTGTCCCTTTAAAATAACTCAACACTCAGCCATTAACATCTAAAATGCTGGCAACAAAAGTGAGTACACCCCTAAGTGAAAATGTCCAATTTGGGCCCAATTAGCCATTTTCCCCGGTGTCATGTGACTCGTTAGTGTCACCAGGTCTCAGGTGTGAATGGGGAGCAGGTGTGTTAAATTTGGTGTTATCTCTCTCTTTCTCCCATACTGGTCACTGGAAGTTCAACATGGCACCTCATGGCAAAGAACTCTGTGAGGATCTGAAAAATAGAATTGTTGCTCTACATAAACATGGGCTAGGCTATAAGAATATTGCCAAGACCCTGAAACTGAGCTGCAGCACGTTGATCAAGACCATACAGCGGTTCAACAGGACAGGTTCCATTCAGAACAGGCTTCGCCATGGTCGACCAAAGAAGTTGAGTGCACAAGCTCAGCGTCATATCCAGAGGTTGTCTTTGGGAAATAGACATGAGTGCTTCCAGCATTGCTGCAGAGGTTGAAGGGGTGGGGGGTCAGCCCGTCAGTGCTCAGACGAAACGCTGCACACTGCATCAAATTGGTCTGCATGGCTGTCATCCCAAAAGGAAGCCTCTTCTAAAGATGATGCACAAGAAAGCCTGCAAACAGTTTGCTGAAGACAAGCAGACTAAGGACATGGATTACTGGAACCATGTCCTGTGGTCTGATGAGACCAAGAGAAACTTATTTGGTTCAGATGGTTTCAACCGTGTGTGGCGACAACTAGGTGAGGAGTACAAAGACAAGTGTGTCTTGCCTACAGTCAAGCATGGTGGTGGGAGTGTCATGGTCTGGAGCTGCATGAATGCTGCCGGCACTGGGGAGCTACAGTTTATTGAGGGAATCATGAATGCCAACATGTACACTGACATACTGAAGCAGAGCATGATCCCCTCCCTTCGGAGACTGGGCTGCAGGGCAGTATTCCAACATGATAATGACTCCAAACACACCTCCAAGACGACCACTGCCTTGCTAAAGAAACTGAGGGTAAAGGTGATGTACTGGCCAATCATGTCTCCAGACCTAAACCCGATTGAGCATCTGTGGGGCATCCTCAAATGGAAGGTGGAGGAGCGCAAGATCTCTAACATCCACCAGCTCCGTGATGTCGTCATGGAGGAGTGGAAGAGGACTCCAGTGGCAACCTGTGAAGCTCTGGTGAACTCCATGCCTAAGAGGGTTAAGGCTGGAAAATAATGGTGGCCATACAAAATATTGACACTTTGGGCCCAATTTGGACATTTTCCCTTAGGGGTGTACTCACTTTTGTTGCCAGCGGTTTAGACATTAATGGCTGCGTGTTGAGTTATTTTGAGGAGACAGTAAATTTACACTGTTATACAAGCTGTACACTCACTACGTCACATTGTAGCAAAGTGTAATTTCTTCAGTGTTGTCACATGAAAAGATATAATAAAATATTTACAAAAATGTGAGGGGTGTACTCACTTCCGTGAGATATTGTATATACACTGTATATAAAGACACACTTTTTTCCTTCTTTACAGTTGATTGTAAGGCACTATGACTGATAAAGAGTACAAGATATTATATATAACATTTGTGCTGACATTCAGTTAGCCAACACAATGTATCACCTCTGTTCTCAGTTTCCTGCTGTCTGTAGGTTGCACAGTGTGGTGGAGATAGTTACTCAATCACTCTGACTAAAGGACATAGCATGGGAGGGTCTGAAAAAAGTTCATCCAGAAGAACCAACAGTCACAAAATACCCCCTGGGGGAGCCACCTTACCGTATAACAAAGTCGGCTTCATCAATCTGCTTGCCACATCTGCTACCTTTCAGAATGCCGCCATTTCCCACCACCGAGCATTTCTTCAATGGAAGCTTAAAGGGGATCTCCTGGCAACAGAGACAAGAGAGAGTTTGCCATCAGACATCACCATTGTCACTGATACAATGTCACCACAGGGGAGAGGGCTTCAAACCTAGAGGAGACCTGCAGGACCCCTGCTGTGGTGGGGCCTGTTATAGCTTAGATTGTCCTCATTAGGGAGGATATTAGATGTGGCCATTTCATGGAAGACAGACATAAACCTATACAGAAAGTGCTGCAAACAAAACAACCCCTTGAAGGAATGAATTATATAAATGTAGATCTGCCATAATTAATATACACAGAAGCCAATATGGAAATTTGCAATGGCACTGCCGAAATCTGGAATATCCTATGGAATAACTGAGCCAATTATATCCACTTTAAAATGCACGTTTAGGGAAAACATTTTTTCTTGTTTTTGGATAGAGTATTGAAAATTTGGAACACCTATGGCTGTCTGTAGCTCATTATTTTTCCTTTCCATGGCTGTGGCAACAGGAACAGGATGGCAATATTTATTAATTTTATAAGGGTCGGTTCACACTATTGCATACTGTAAGACCCGCGTTTGCTTGGGCATGGCAGCCCATTCATTTGAATGGCCTGCTGTGCTGAATTTCCCGTTGTGAGCTAAGATGTGTGTAGTTCCATTCAAAATGAATGGCAGCCACATGCGTCTCACAAGAGCAGTGCGATTTGGCTGTGGTGCTTGGGGGTGCAGGGAACAGGTGCGATTCCCCCACCAGCAACCAGCCTGCAAGTGTGAACCTAGCTTTAGGTCCTATTTACACAAATGTGTTGCAGTAACATGCATGTTAATGTGCCATACAGTCCCCAGTGCCTTGCAGTGCCATTCATTCCTAATGGCATCCCAACTCACCTGCACTGCTGTGCAAAAGCAATATGCAATGCAGTGCACCATTCAGAAAAAAAATGCAGAATGCACTACATCCGGGGTCTCCAAATTACAGCCCAGGGGCCAGATGCGGCCCTTTGCTTGCATTTATCTTTTGAGGCATTATTCTTGCCACTGATACCAACAATAGGACACTATTTCTCCCACTGACACCAACAATGGGACATCATTCCTTCCACTGTCACCAGCAATTGGGCACTATTCCTTCCTTGTTTCTTCCACTGGGCACTCTCTGGCCCCCCTAAAGTCTGAACAACAGTAAACTGACTCTTTGTTTAGAACGTTTGGAGACCCCTGCACTACATTGTTGTGCAGTAAACTGAGTTACAGCCCATTTATTCTGAATGATCCAAAGTAGTTTCAAGTGTTCAATGAGAATTCCAACCGTAACTGAAAAAGAACAGTCTGTTAGCGGGTCAAGAGTTGAGGGAAAATATACACAGTTCAGCATCACTTACCGATGTCCCTCCTCCAGCCTGTGATTGAACGGGCTGGTTGGACCACTTCAGCACAATTGATTGGCCCCTTGTGCTGCATTTCCCTCCCCCAGTCACAGCTTTGCTGTACAGGGACTGCAAGAGGCAGATATCAGGTCACATTCAGTAATTACACTGTATTCAAAGAAATGTCACACTACATGTGTCTTTTATTTTTGTCTGGAGCCCAGCTTTAAAATATACAAGCACCTGTTAGAGAATAAACAGGTGGCGCACACACCTAGTGCATTATCCAAGGTTTATTGAAAGGTATGAAAGGTAAAAACATACTCACAGACGAAGCATGTATCTAAAAAGCATTTGCATAATGACGATGGCCACAACGGCAAGCAAGGTGTTCCAACTGTCAGTGCGGTCAAATGTCTGACGCGTTTCGGGGACAAATTCCTTTCCTCAGAGCTACTGACCAGCCTCTGGTGCAGATGTGTAGTGGATGGATGATGGGAGCCTTGCTGTGGCCATCGTCATTATGCAAATACTTTTTAGATGCATGCTTCGTCTGTGAGTATGTTTTCACCTTTCATACCTTTCAATAAACCTTGGATAATGCACTAGGTGTGTGCGCCACCTGTTTATTCTCTATCTAGTGGCTGATCTCCCCATCTGAGGAGGGCTGCACCCCTGAATCATTTCCTTTGGTTGTCGCTGTCCTGGTTCCCTTGGCTTCCCTTTTGGCTGTGCATTTCCTGAGGCGCTGGAGAGTACATACGATACAAGCACCTGTGTCTGCTATGGTCCACTATATAATGTCAGGACCGCTCATGCAGTAGAAAAGCAATGAACAATCCAATTGCATTTTGGCTCCTTATTGGGAACTGCACAATAGAACACATATAATGTTTTGCAGTGAGCCAATAGGAAGTCATAGCTGGCTTCCCAAACTCAAGATAGTGGCACTAGGGACCCAAAGACCAGCAAAGAACTGGCCCGGGTGATTGCAGTGCTGGAATTCTAGGCTGGTGAGTACCTGCTTAATAAAAGTCAGCAGGTAAAATATTTGAAGCTAACTTTTAATTTTTCTTTTAAGTTACAGAAGAATTGAAAAAGAATGAGGAAATAGAGTGATACTTTTAACCACTTCCTGTCCAGCCCATGTACATAAACGGCCGAAGTGGGTCACCGTTTATAAACGGCCTCCGCATTCATTGCCTGTGCGCGCTCCCTGGGAACACTGATCGCTGTATGGGATCTCTGCGCGAGGTCCCGATTCATGTGATCCCTAATTGGCCAATCAGTGATCACTTCTGACATCATTGCTTACTACGTGTGAAATCTTTGAATGATCACAGAGGTCACATGGTACAAGGCTATTCACAACAGCCTTGTACCATGTGACAAGCTGTGACCAATCACAGCTCACAGTATTTCTCAATGGCTGCAAGAATGCAGCCAGAGAGAAGGAGAAATGATTATGGCCTTTATGGGTGTAAAAGCAATCAGTGTAAAAAAAAAAACAAAAAATCCTCATCACCCCCCACAAGTAGTACAGTGTCACTATGGTGACACTGTACTGCTAGGGTGATGGTATGTTAAAAAAAAAAAAAAAAAAACATAAATAATAATATATATAAAACATTTTTTTAGAAAAATTATAATTTTTGATGAAAAACTAATTTGGGATTTTTTTTTTACTAAAAAGACAGCTGAATACATTTTGGCCAAGATTTATGAAGAAAGATTATTTATTTGCAACATTTTATAAGAAAAACACTTTTTTTTTCAAAATGTTTGGACTTTTTCATTTATATAGAGAAAAACAAATCCCAGTGGTGAATAAATACCACCAAAATAAAGTTTTATCTGTCTACAAAAAATGCTAAAAAATTAATATGGGTACAGTGTTGCATGATCATGAAATTGTCATTCAAAGTGTGATAGCGCTGAAAGCTGAAAATTGGCCTGGACAGGAAGGGGGTGAAAGTGTCCGTACTTGAAGTACAGTATTTTCTGGTGTATAAGACTACTTTTTATACTTAAAAATATACCCCAAAAATTGGGGGTCGTCTTATACGCGGGGTATAAAATGTGAACCTTGAGTTTGTTTGGGTCAAGCTGTCTGGATGTGCGGTATATACAGTATACTGCGCTGAGCCAAGCGGTTTCAAAACGTACCGGTACGTCTCTACTGTAATCAGCCCGCTGGATGCGTGTATGTACGGTAGCTGCAGCTACATACAGTATACACTGGGCCAATCACAGCGAGCGATGTATTCTACTAATGAATACAAAGCCTTCTCGGATTGGCTGAGTCAGAGAGGTGGGCTGATGATGTCACAACCTCAGCCAATCCGAGCAGGCTTTGTATTCTTTAGTAGATTACATCGCTCGCCGTGATCGGCCCAGTGTATACTGTATGTAGCCTCAGCTACCGTACATACACGCATCCAGCGGGCTGATTACAGTAGGGACGTACCGGTACGTTTTGAAACAGCTTGGCTATACTGTATATACCGCACATCCAGTAGGCTCACAGATTAATCTGTCATAGGGACATTTGTTTTGAGCCAGCTTGGCTCAGCGCGGTATACTGTATGTACATTACTGCACATCCAGTGGGCTGTATATATACTGTATACTGTATGTAGCCGAAGCTACCGTATTACCGCACAGCCAGCGGTAACCATCTGATTTGGAATTTGATCCATATGATGACTGTCTTACAAATGTATCACAAGATGTCATTCATGAACTTATGATGTCAGAGGATGAACATGAGGATTTTGAAGGATTTTAAGTACCGGTAAGTTATAACCATTTCAATTAAAAAATCTGATGTTTTTAAATGGTGTTGCCTCGGAAGGGGGGTAGTCTTATGCGGCGAGTATAGCCCAAAACCTATGTTTTAACTAGAAAATTAGAGGGTCGTCTTATACACCCAGTCGCCTTATACGCCGGAAATATGAACCAAAACCACAAAGATCAGAAAAAGCGATGCAAAATGAATCTACACAGCTGTACCACCCCACCCCCTTTCTTATTTCCTATCATGAATCTGGCACACAAGCTGCTTACATAAATTGCACAAGATACACACTGCCACCTCTGAAAAGCTGTTCTAGATGGCATCTATTTAATTTAAAGTTTAAAATGATGGAAACAAGTGAATCTTAGAATAATGTGGTCCCTCCGACCCCTGATTCCCAACTTGTGAACATTCCCCTCACTCTTTCCTCGCAGCCAGCACCAAAATCCTAAGTGTTGGCTGGGGTCAGATGCTAGGGAGAATGGTGAAGTCACTACATCCGCCATGTTACCGTGCTCCAGCTGCAATAGCCAAGCGCTGTTATATGGGAGGCGGCAGCAAAAGGAGTGTCAATGGGGCACTGATGAAGCGAGTATAAGCGGGAAGTGGCGCCTTTACATGGATACTGTCACTTGGCCTGAATGGGAGACATGATCTGGTCTTTTAAAGTTATAAGGTATTCTCTATATTGTTTATCTGAACTGGGAGATATACTGTACAAAAACTGAATTATGTATTTATTGAAACATTTAGATCTACAGTATTCTACATACTGTATAACCAGCAAAAATACTGAAAACGGTCTTTATATTAGCTTCCTCTAATCCCCGGAACAGTACTATCGGAAGAGTAGGGGGGAAGGAATCTCCTTCACGTATGGTAACTGACAGCAGAGTGGTGGACTCATCGGTGTAATGAGGTTCTGTTGTTCAGTCACAGGCTGGAGGGGGGTCCTAGACCAGATTGTACTGATTAAAGACTGTGAGTTCGCTTACATTGAGGTGCTCTGTCCTAGGGGTGCCTGGATCAAAAAACTGTTTAGGTTTATCAGTGCCTGGAGTTCTAATTTAAATGTTGATCCCATCCCCCCCCGACCCTTATTCTTATTCTCAATTTGATGTCGTCCTTATACTCTACTGATAAATATTAAAGCAATACTATAAAAAACACAGAATTTCAATTTGTTTGGATCTTGCAATGATGCCCATTGTAAGATATTATAGGGCATATGGAGCATATGCAAATTAATCTATTTACATATGCATGTTAACAAGCTTATTTGCATCGTATGCAAATCAAACAAGGGAATCCATATAGGAAACTATTGAAACAGCATAATGAATGGAGCTGTATCATCTTCCTCTGTTGCTGGGAGTTTGGTACAATGAAAGGATCCGCATAATGGGCAGGACTGCGCATATAAAACAGGAGGTTTAGTGAAAAACCATTTTTAAAGAGAACTTGTGATGATGGCTATTACCTGGCATACCTGGAGCTCTAATCCACAGCTGAAGCGGGTAAATACGTGATTCACACAGGCAGTGCTAGTTCTAGGGGGGGCACACAGCTGTGTGTAAGGCTGTAGGAGTAAGGTCCTCCTGCAGAGATGAGTTCCACTCTGGAACTAGCACCACCTACAGGGGTCAGCCAATGCTAATCTCCAGGGCTGGATGGTAGTCCCAGTTGTCATGAATTAAAACCATCCTAACAGATTCCCTTTAAATAAACAAAGAAGCAATAAGAATGTGCAGAACTCACAGAGACCAATAAGATTTCACTATTGTAGTATTATATTCGTTGGACAAATCCTGATTGGCTGACAATTGTTATTGCACGTCACAAATTACAATGTACGTTGCAGAATATGTATTCTTCTTTCCTAATGTTACATGGTCTAAGAACTGAAGATAATTTTCTCCACACACAGCCAATCCCGGACAAGCCCCCTCTAACCTCCAGCAGCATTACAGGCAGTGTGTCATGGCACCCACTACAGACAATATAGAAGCAGACAGAGCAACATGGGAATGATAGCACTGACAAAGGGTGTACTGGGTGGCCAATGGACAGATTACAGAGTTTGGGACTAATACTGGAGGCAACTCTGGCCAGCCAATGAAAAAAAATAGTATGACAGTGGAGTGACAACACTTCTGTTTTATGTTGTGTTATATTTATTTTTAAACATTAAGTCATATTATTAATGTTCAGAAATTAAATCCTTATTTTGTAATTTTTTAGAGGACATCTAAAATTGTAACTTCACTCAGCTGCTTGCGAGCTGAATCATCCAGCAGTATCTCATCCCTTTTAAATTCCAGTGGGAAGATATCCCTGACCCCAGAAAGGTTTCTAGTTTTGTCAGTCTGCCAGCACAATATTGGTATCACCCTCCCCCAGAGGATTTCTGAATGACAAAATAACTGTTGAGTCCAGCAGCAAGAGAGGGACACCATCATTGTTGCTTTGTGGAACAAACAATGCTTGCAAAGATTTTTGGTTCTATTTAGAGTGGACCTTTAACATAATGTAAAAACAAAACCTAAGTGTTTGAGACGTCCGGGAGAACCAGGAGTGTCCCAGAAAACTGGAGCCATCTGGAGGATTGTTTCACTCTGAGACATCCAATAGGATAGTATGTAACAATTCAGATTCCACTCTTGGGCAATGAATGAGGAAGGGAGGAGGTGGACTGACCTGTGGGAAGAGATTGTATGTGGAGTTATCTATGGTCAGAGAATATAGGAGCTCTCCATCAAACCAGAGATTCTCGCCCAGCGGGGTGTTCACCTTCGTCATGGAGAAGAGGTGGCTGGGGTCACAGCAGTCATTTAACAGCTTCCTGGAAGAGACAACAAATCCATTATAGAGACAATTCTATCCAAAGAAGAAGTAATAGAAAATGTCCTGAGAACACAGATTATTCAACTCCTGAAGATTAGCAGTTGATGGCAGAGCAGAATTCTATGAAAGGGCACAAAGGAGACAAAAAGGGGTATATTTACTAAAATGGGTGCGCTCAGCATCTGGTGCAGCTGTGCATGGTAGCCAATCAGCTTCTAATATCAGCTTGTTCAGTTAGGCTTTGGCAGTAAAACCGTGAAGCCGATTGGTTTCTATGCAGAGATGCACCAGATTTAGCACTCTCCAGTTTCAGTAAATAAACCCCTGTCAGGTTTAGTGGAAACACATTAAAATAGATGTAAACCCAATTCAAAAAATGTTTTACTACATTAATGTCATTGCACCAGATTTTGCACTCTCCAGTTTTAGTAAATAACCCCCAAAGTGCGGTCACATAAAGGACTGAAATTTAGGCTTCATTCACATAAGCACACAGATCTTGTGTAGAGGGTTGTGTTTATATGGCTGGGGAATATTAGGTGTCCTGTCCAGCCAGCCGGTCAAAATCAATGACAGGCTGAGAGATGCAGCGGCTGTATGGACCTTACACACGTAGATTATCTGCATCCAGAGCTGTTGTCCAAAGCTGCGTGTCCATCCCGGTACAGATGTGAACACTGGCATGTACAAGAAGATCTATACAGCCATTGCATCTCTCTGACTGTCATTGATTTATATAGGCTGGCTGCACAAGGATGCACGGAACTCCTGCCATTCCCTGGGTGCATAAACAAGACCCTCTACACCACGGGTGTCAAACTGGCGGCCCTCCAGCTGTTGCCAAACTACAAGTCCCATGAGGCATTGCAAGATTGACAGTTACAAGCATGACTCCTAAAGGCAGAGGCATGATGGGACTTGTAGTTGTGCAACAGCTTGATGGCCACCAGTTTGACACCCCTGCTATGTACCCCTATGTACCCCTTCTGTCAGTTATGGCTGCAATCTTTCTTGGTCTACTTGACCTTGGCTTGGTATCAAGAGATCCCCGAACCTTCCACTTCTTAATAGGTGATTTAACAGTACTGATTGGCATATTCAAGGTTTTGGACATCTTTTCATGTCCTTTTCCATCTTTATAAAGTTCCATTACCTTGTCATGCAGGACTTTTGACAGTTCTTTTCTGATCCCCATGGCTCAGTATCTAACCTAGTCAGTGCTTCCACGTAAGAGCTAACAAACACATTGACTATTTATACACCGACACTAATTGCAATTTAAAAAGCCACAGATGTGAGACATTAACCTCTAATTGGCATTTTAACCCGCGAGTGTCACCTTGTGTGCCTGTACCAAGGCCAAACATTCCAGGGTATGTAAACTTTTGTACTTGTCCATTTTCGTGATTTCTGTTATCATTGTGATTTAAAAACGAGGCAAACAACTATTTGATAATAAATGACTTCATATGATCATCATCCTTCAATAAAAGAGCATTTTTTGGCATGAGCAGTCATATTTTCAATATCAATGCCAAAATGTCACAATTTCTGCCAGTGTATGCAAACATTTCAGCACAACTGTATCTATCTATCTATCTATCTATCTATCTATCTATCTATCTATCTATCTATCTATCTATCTATCTATCTATCTATCTATCTCTCTGTCTATCTATCTAGTTGTAATTATCTGTCCATCAATGTCTGTATGTCTGTTTAAAGACTACTTCTGTTTTTTCTCTTGGAGAAGTTAGTAATTCTGGGAAGTGATGGTAGGGGATGAATGGGGCTCATTGTGCTCGGTCTCTGGGATGATTATGCTCTGCTGATCCTTAATGAAATAAAAGGCTCCCTGTTCATGGGAATGACGGTCCACAAATCTGGACATCTGGGTCAGGGTTGGTGAGTGGCCAAATCTGCAGCGCTGGGTCTGATGTCACGTAAAGTAGAATCTGTTTGATGGACATTGAATATTTTCCAGAGATGATATTTGGTTGCTAAAGGTTACTGCAGACCGCTGCCACTTTTGTTGTTAAATGTAGCCGTTCGGTGTGTACAATCAAACTTGCATCTCTTTGGGGCGGATTACTATTTTGTGTGTGAAGCTATGTGTGGTGTGTATCTGATCCAGAGCAGGCAAAATATCATTATAAAGTGTGCTTTAATGGGAAAAGAATCTCCATCCTGTGCAGTTAAAAATACAACCAGACCCTTTCTGTAAATGATCTACAGAGCTGCATAGAACTAGCTCTTGAGGAAATTGTTCTAGATTTTCACAGTTCTTGTCATAAAGAAACCTTTCCAAATGCTTGTGTGCATGTCTTATACAGCATTATATTATTGCAGGAGCATATTATTCACATGATGTAATTGCATTATTAACCTGCAATTATGCTTTTCCTTGTAAATCATACTTTATCATTGCTGTTTTGCACGCAAACATACAAATTATTGTTCATTTCTATTATCCTGAAAATGTACACCAGCACAATCAAACTGGAGCATCTGCTTACCTCGGTGCAATCGCAGCAACTTCTGCCTACCTCGGTGCAATCGCAGCATCTACTGCCTACCTCGGTACAATCGCAGCATCTACTGCCTACCTCGGTACAATCGCAGCATCTACTGCCTACCTCGGTGCAATCGCAGCATCTACTGCCTACCTCAGTGCAATCGCAGTATCTACTGCCTACCTTGGTACAATCGCAGCATCTACTGCCTACCTCGGTACAATCGCAGCAGCTATTACTTACCTCGATGCAATCTCAGCATCTACTGCCTACCTTGGTGCAATTGCAGCATCTACTGCCTACCTCGGTGCAATCGCAGCATCTACTGCCTACCTTGGTGCAATCGCAGCATCTACTGCCTATCTCGGTACAATAGGAGCATCTACTGCCTACCTCGGTGCAATCGCAGCATCTACTGCCTATCTTGGTACAATCACAGCATCTGCTGCCTACTTCAGTACAATCGCAGCATCTACTGCCTACCTCAGTACAATCACAGCATCTACTGCCTATCTTGGTACAATCACAGCATCTACTGCCTACCTCAGTACAATCACAGCATCTACTGCCTATCTTGGTACAATCACAGCATCTACTGCCTACCTCAGTACAATCACAGCATCTACTGCCTATCTTGGTACAATAGCAGCATCTACTGCCTATCTTGGTACAATCATAGCATCTACTGCCTACCTCAGTACAATCACAGCATCTACTGCCTATCTTGGTACAATCACAGCATCTGCTGCCTACTTCAGTACAATCGCAGCATCTACTGCCTACCTCAGTACAATCACAGCATCTACTGCCTATCTTGGTACAAGCACAGCATCTACTGCCTACCTCAGTACAATCACAGCATCTACTGTCTATCTTGGTACAATCACAGCATCTACTGCCTACCTCAGTACAATCACAGCATCTACTGCCTATCTTGGTACAATAGCAGCATCTACTGCCTATCTTGGTACAATCATAGCATCTATTGCCTACCTGAGTACAATCGCAGCATCTACTGCCTACCTCAGTAAAATCAAGCTGCAGCAACACCTTTATACTTAAGTTCACTCAAATTGCTGCATCTACTGTTTATTTAAGTGCAATAAAAGTACACTATGTACCACTACATCAGAGCAATTACACTGCATTACTGTCAACCTCAGTGCAATCACAGTGCACCATGTAGAGCCTACCTCGATAAAATCAAACTGCAACATCTCTTACCTACCTCAGTACCTTCAAATTGCAGCATCTAATGTCTACTGGAGTGCAATTAAACTGCAATCTGCATAGACTAGATTCAGGACTTTTAGTGCATTTTCAGAAGTGCAGGAACGCATGCCAATCAATTTATCATGGTTTTCTATGGGTCCCATTCACATCTATGCAGTTTCCTGCAGTGCATTTTTGAAAGAGGTGCAGGGAATTTTTTTCATACAGGGGGGTGCATTTTTGGGTCCATAAACTTAAATGGAAGCACATCAAAAACAAATGTATATGCGGATTTGGTAGTGTTTCGTGTTTAACAGAAGTCTCCTCTTGCTCCAAAAAAACGCATTAAACATGAAATAGTGCGGCAAAAACACATCATAAAAGAACCTAGCCTACCTCAGCGCAATCAAACTTCACCATATACTGCCTACCTCGGCACTTTGAGACTGAACCATGTACTGCCTACATCGGCACATTCAGACTGAACCATGTACTGCCTACATTGGCACATTCAGACTGAACCACATACTGCCTACATCGACACATTCAGACTGAACCATGTACTGCCTACATCGACACATTCAGACTGAACCATGTACTGCCTACATCGACACATTCAGACTGAACCACATACTGTCTACATTGGCACATTCAGACTGAACCATATACTGCCTACATCGACACATTCAGACTGAACCATGTACTGCCTACATCGACACATTCAGACTGAACCATGTACTGCCTACATCGACACATTCAGACTGAACCATGTACTGCCTACATTGGCACATTCAGAATGAACCACATACTGCCTACATCGACACATTCAGACTGAACCATGTACTGCCTACATAGGCACATTCAGACTGAACCAGGACTGCCTACATAGGCACATTCAGACTGAACCACCTACTGCCTACATCGACACATTCAGAATGAACCATGTACTGCCTACATCGGCATACTCAGACTGAACCATGTACTGCCTACATCGACACATTCAGACTGAACCATGTACTGCCTACATCGACACATTCAGACTGAACCATGTACTGCCTACATTGGCACATTCAGACTGAAGCATGTACTGCCTACATCGACACATTCAGACTGAAGCATGTACTGCCTACATCGGCACATTCAGACTGAACCATGCACTGCCTACATCGGCACATTCAGACTGAACCATGTACTGCCTACATCGACACATTCAGACTGAACCATGTACTGCCTACATAGGCACATTCAGACTGAACCACCTACTGCCTACATTGACACAT